GGCTCACCCGGAGCAGGCGTCGTGGGGCTAACTGCTGAGAACGGCGCTCAATTCGAATCTTACGCAGAGGCCTGGCAGTTTGTTGCTGAGCCCGTCGTACTGGCCGTGACACCGGCCCAAGCTCTGCCCGATGCCGAGCTTATCATTTACGGCAACAACTTGCGCGGTGGCGCGGCTCACATCTCCGAGGTCACATTTGATAGTGTTTCAGCTACCATTTTGGCCGAAACCAATGTGCTCGTCCGCGTGCTCCTTCCCCGTGGTCCTTCCAAGGGAAATGCCACTTTACGCATCACCGCAAGCACCGGGGCCTATGCGGTTTTGAACAATGCAGTGGAGTACCTCGAAGATGCCAATCTCACAAGTGTGGTTCCCTTCTCAGGTCAATACGGAACGCGTGTGACCGTGACTGGCACCAACTTGCTTTTGGGTGGCACGCGCATCTTGAGCGCCCGGTTGGCGGGCGTTGAGGCTGTCATTGCGTCAGCGAACAATTCGCATGTTGTATTGCTGGCCGGACGGGGCAGTGGTCTTGCCGGCTCTGGCCCTTTGCTCTTGATTTCGGACAGCCTGGCAAGTTTTACGTCGGATTCAAGTGTCTTCAGCTACCTGGACCTGGGAGATGTCGATTCAGTCGTGCCCAGCCGTGGTGTAAGCGGCGCGGTTGTAACGCTGACTGGCACCAATCTTCTCGGTGGCGGCAGTAGCTTGACGAGCGTCACCTTTGGCTCGTCGTCAGCTACGGTTCTGTCGGCCACTAGCACCCGAGTTGTTGTGCAGACTAGTCTCGCACCTGCCCTCACACCAGTGGACCTCACATTGGTAGCCGACACCGGTGCGGAAATTACCCAGTCGCGGGGCTTTCAATTTGTGGCTTTGCCCGTCATCTCTAGCATTGTGCCTACTAGTGGTAACCGCGGCACACGAGTGACGATTCAAGGCCAGCGGCTGCTTCTTGGAGCTGAAGCGCTGCACTCGGTTGGATTCAACATCAGCGGTGCTTCCGCGACCATTCTCTCAGCCAGTGCATCTGAGCTTGTTGTACAGCTGGCTGAAACTGTGGCTGAACAGGCCGCACAGTTGGTGCTGACAAGCATTGACAACGCCACCGTTACCACCAATGCCACTTTGGACTTTGTCGCGCCGGCCGTTGTGGAAGAAGTGGAGCCAACAATGGTTTACGCCGGCACACTCGTCACGGTGCGCGGTCAGGGACTGCTGCAAGGCGCCAGTGCTATTACTACCGCCTACGTGGGCGAGGAGGCGA